TATACCTCGTCCTTTACTCACTGGGCCGCTGCTGCGCTGTGCTGCGCATCCGCCGCGGCAAACCGCAGCCCAACCAAATTCCTCCCCCGCCCTCGGGGAACTCACAAAGCAGCAAAAAGGAAGGCGCCCAAGAGCCGAGCATTTTCGGTCGCCGCTCCCGCGCAACTACCCGCACGTTGCGTCCACCCTCTCGGCTTGACAGCTCCTGCGGCGCCCACATTGCTAAGCCCTTTTTGCCAGGGGACGCGACGCCGGGTCCACCCGCAACACGCAGCGCCTTGCCCGCCGTCCCGTTGACGGCCGCAGCCCCGGGCGAGTCCCTCTCTTTTCCGCCGCGTCGTAGATAACAAACCCTCTCTCTTCAGGGTCTCGAGTCAAACGATCCACAGCTTTTACTTGACCTCCTCCGCGGCCTCGCATTTTGCCACCGTCTCCTCTTCCCTGTCAAACACGTACGCCAACTCGCCTCCAAGGCAGTAGGCAACATAACGAATTGGGTGGTGTTTGTAGTGCAGCAGACGGTAGAGGAGGTAGGGGCCGGCATCCGCCCACCGCCCGAGCCCGTGCGTCCCAAGCAGGAAGTGTGGCTCCACGTCAGGCAACCCGTGATCTTCAGCGCGGAACACACATCGTGCATGTCGTTATTGCACGATGCGCCACACCCGCCCCACCTCGGAGTTAACGTAGCAGTCGATGGTGACTGTTCCCTCCCGCAGCGAGGGCGGCCAGCCCTGCTCGGAGGTGAGTACCATCAGCGTGGGGCGCGGCGGGCGCAACTGGTCCGCCCCGCCACTATCCAGCCCAAAAGCACCGTAAGCATCTTGTCCTCCCACGACTTTGCTGGCGCCTTCACCTCCATTCGCATCTTCACTTCATCCTCCCCTTCGCCCTCGGGAAACCCCAAGACGTGGCTCCACCTCGCGCTGAGCACCGAGTCGTAGAAACCCTTCGGAATCGGTAGTCTCACCCTTTTCTTTTTCCGCTTTGCCCCTTCGTTTTCTTCCCCACCTGCCGCTTCTGCCTTCGCCACCTCAAGGGCTGAGTTTTTCCGACGCCGTTCTAGAGACGGTATACAACCACGAGGAAACACCCC